GTCGGGGCACCCGACTATAACGTTCCCTCTTGTTTTTTATTCGTATTACCCGACGACTGGCGCTTGTTGGCTTTTTCAGGCCCCGCAATTGACCCGCTTAGCCACGCGCTCGATCGACGGTAGTTATTAGCCAAGAAAATTGAATGGCCAAAAGGGGGGGAGTCTATGATTTTTGCATTATAAATGTACAATATTATTACTTTTTTTCATTTTAATTTTGTCCGCTTCGCTTTCCATGCACAAATTCAATTAACCGAAATCTTTAGCTGGTTACACTTTCTTTGGGTTAAGTGGCATATCGAGTATTTTTATGTGTGGCGTGCAAATCATTTATGCAAATGTTAAAAATACAGTTTTGGGCATATATAATATGTTCGTTTGGCTACTGATTTTCGCTAAGCGAACAATGCTTCGTGATTGAGTCTGCAAAATATAATAAAGAGGTAACAGGAAAATGGGCAGAGGGGCTCAAAAAAACTGGATTTCTACCACTAACTCATGAGTCACTAAACAAAGTCGTGAAGTCGAGAATAAAGCAAAAACTCTAACAATGTTGAATTGGCCATAAAACCTGAGAAGAATTTGTTTATATTCTTGAGAATTTGTCGTATTTTCTGTTCTCATATGAAGTTTTTAAAGAACCTAATTGTTTATACTTTATAGGTGATTATTATTTGTCATGTGAGTTTGTAATTATTTTTGCAAAGTTCCTTGGGAATATAGAAGTAAAAATCATATAGTCCTATTTTGTTTATAAAAAAAACTATCTGCAAGTCTATTAAATATTCCTTTTTATACCCTTGTAGAGGGTATTATAATTTCAGTCAGATGTTTGCAACGCAGTGAAGGAGACGTTTCCGACCGCATAAAGTATATATATTCTTGATCAGCACCAATAGCCGAGTCTATCTAGCCATGTCCGTCTGTCCGTCTGTCCGTCTGTCCGTCTGTCCGTCTGTCCGTCTGTCTGTCTGTCCGTCTGTCCGTTTCTATGCGAACTAGTCCCTCAGTTTTAAAGCTATCGCGATGAAACTTTCCCAAAAGTCTTCTTTCTATTGCAGGTAGTACATATGTCGGAGCGAGCCGGATCGGACCACTATATCTTAAGGCTTCCATAAGAATATTCAAACAAATATAAGAAAATTCATTGTAACTTTGTAAGAAGTAGGCGTTTTGATTCTTGACTACTTATGTATAAACAAAATTAAAATATAAACGTTGAATCTGGAATCCCTGGAACTGCACCGAGTAAGCATTACTTTATCTACAAGGGTATATAAGCTTCGGCTGGCCGAAGGTAGCTTCCTTTCTTGTTTACTTCACAGTTTTCCCAGCTGCATTTTATTAGTTTCTGCTTCTTTTCAAGTCGCTTTTAGCCGCATGCAAATCTGGTAGACAAACACTTGGTAAGCTTTTTCGGAGCCTAAAACTAACAGCAGACACTGGCTAAATCCCTCCAACTAAAAAACAGAGAAAAGAGCAGAAAAAGTAGAAAAAAGAGCATGTACAAAATGCCAACAAATAGATTGCAAAACGCTGTCTAGACGTGCAATTTTGGTCCTGACATCCAGGGAACCTCCTCTTTAGACGAGGCGAATTTTCCGCTCACACAAACACTAGCCCACACACACCTACAAGCAGCACACGCACACCACCGCACATTTTGAGGGTGTGCCGGCTGCTGTCGTCTGATGAAAGGAAAACTACCCCCGAAACGCGGAAGGCATATGAAATCCAAAATCCATCGATATCCGAATTGAATTGAAATTCAGCAAAAACTAAATCGGGCTAAAGAGGCGGAAAAAAGCAGCTGAGGCAAGCTAAAAATGCTTTTATTATATATGTACTTTTTTTAAATCCCTTAACAGACAGGTAAACGCCCTATACCAAACCACCCAATAAAAAACCGTCAGAAAAACAGCTGTGAGGCGTAGAATACTCATAGACAGAGCGGAAAAAACAAAATAATAATAATAATGCGGAGACCCGGTACTTGGGAATCGAAATCCGATGGATGGATCGAAGTGGAATGTGGGGCCTCCGCCGAAACAGAACACAAACTATGGTACATATGAGGAAAATAAAAACAACAAGAAAGCAACGATATATCCGAGAAATATATATTTTGCTTTGGGGCGCACGCTGCTGCTTCTGGCCGTCGTGCTCATATGGCAGCAATTTACATAAAACCCGCAAAACCAGTTTTTTTTTTATTCAAAAGTTTCAAGTTCCAGCCCGTCGGTAGACGGAAAGAGACGGCAGTGCTGGGGTAGAAAGAGACGGTCGCTATAAGCGCGCGTTCTTAAAACATTTGCCTGCACTTTGGCTTATGGGAAGCAATTTGTAAAATTCTCACTGCTCGAGCATTTGAGTGGATTTCCTATGGGTAACTTATGACATTGAAATAACAATTAATTGACACGGTTATGTTCGCTCAGATTGGGTATCCAATTAGAAAACTAATAGGGTTTTTGAAGCAAGAAAATAAGAGGTTATTATTGGAAAACTGGAATCGAGAGCTTAAAGCTGAGTTCAGAAAATATTTAAGGAAGGATTTGATTTTGGACTGCCTTCAATTTTGAAAATACCAGGTTTAAAAAAATTAAGTAGAAAACTTTGGTGGTTATTTAAAAAAACATTTTTTTACGCTTTATTAAAAGATAGGTCGTTTATGTATTTTGTTTGTTAATCAAATTTTTTTAGTTCATTTCAATTATTTATAATAATATTTATAGGTTGAATAATAGAAATATTATTATGATACATTTATTTATTTTTGAAAAAGTCTCCTTGTGAATCGCAATGTATATTCCATATCTGAGAAGATATATCCCCCAGAAAATCCCTCAAAATCGGGAACTTACGCTATTAGAGCTTTGGATTTAATAGGATAAAGGAACGAAATCATAGTAAAATTCACAAAATTACTTATAAGAAGTAAATTTTTTGAATGAACGAAAATAAAAACCATTTTCTTACGAAAATGCTTTGCCTTCCTTTGAATATCCCAATATGTATTCCGTATCTGAGAAGAGATAACCCCCGGAAAATCCCTCGAAATTCGAAATCAAGAACTTACCCATAGCTCGGTGCCCCAACTCATGTTGTTGGAGTTTTGCGCTGCGTTTTCCGATTCGGCCAGTTTGTTGTTGCTGCTGCTTCTGCTCGATCCGCTTGCCACTGTATTTGTTGTCGTTATTTTATAGTTGTTGTTGTTGTTATAATAATAATCCACAGAAGATAATGTAATCCACAGGCGATGAGGAAAGAGACGGGAAAGAGGGAGAAAGCGAGGGAGAAGAGTAAAAGATGAGAACTTTTATTCGTTTTTATTATATTTTCCCGCAAAGGTTAATTAAATTTATAGTAGCTTTTTTCGTTTTCATTTTCCGTTGTTTTTTCTTTTGGTTGTTTTTGTTTTTTCAGTGTTGCGCGACGCGATGTTTAATTTTCTATGAAAGAGAGCAATTCGAGTCATATATATTTCATTTTTGTGTTTTTTTTTTTTCGGTGGTTGGGCAGGTAAGAAAGCATGTAAAAAAAAGAGTGGCAATGCAGACGTGTCAGTTGCAGCGGCAGGTAGAAAAAGAAGGTAAAATGATAACTAATGAGAGTTAAAACTCTTTTTTGGGGAGTTTTTGGAGTTTTACTTGGGTGTTCGAAGTAGGAAAATTCTATGCACTGGCATTTCGCTGCGCAAAGAGAGGGTTAAAGATGGAAATAGAGAGAGAGAGAGCAATGCAACTGCATTTCATAATTGAGAAAAAAGAGAGGACAATTGGAATTCTACTATTTATTGTTGTATTTACATAATTTCGCACACAACACACTCACGCACACACACACAGTAAACACAATTGCCGAGTGCACGCACTCTGCTTCTTCTTCTTCTGCCACCGTTTCTTATTTGTTAACTTATTTTTTCTGCAGTTGCAACTTCTTTCAATTTCGGGTTTTATTTTGCGCCTGCACTTCGGTATGCGTCATAATTCGGGCGACATTTGCACACAAACACACACACTGAATCAGTCGGAACACCCGCACTCACACAACGCAAGCATTTGTTTCTCCTTTTTGGCGTGCGAAAAAACAATTTTATCCGCTTCGAAACCGATCCGCTCGTTGTTGTTTTCACTTCGGCATCAAAAAACAGTGTGGACAGGGTGTGGTTGGAAATATGGATTTTAGTCGAAAATAGTGTGGCCGAAGCAGAGCAACGTTTTTATGCTAGCTTTGAAATAAATTTGGTAACATCTAGCTGAGTTTCAATCCTTTTTTGTTTTTTGTTTTAACGAGTTTAAATGGTTTAAATTTAAATGTTGAACGGCTTAATTGTTGCCTACTAGCTGTTTCATAATAATTCAATTTTCAGAAATAATTAACATTAAATCGTTAAAAATAGAGTTGTCCCATGATTTTATAAGAAATTTATGACAACTTTGAAAAAATTTGGTATTACCAGGCGTGTTATTTATTTAAAACCAAATTAGAAAGTATAAATGATTTAGGTTTAATTAATATGATTTGGGTTCCGTAAAATTTGACAACAAATAAAAGCTGTTCAAAAATTAAACAGAAACCATTTAGGGTCGTTCTATGTATTGTTTGAATTTCCAACAATTCAGAAATTCTACAGTTGAGGAAACTCCCATTTCTATTTTTATTTTACGTAAAAGAACCCCGGTTTGAAGAACTTTAAACATTTTTTAGCTTTTTTTCTAATAAAAAATGTTTTGATGTAGTTCGTTGGAAATGAATAATCTTCTAAGTCATGATATTAATGAAAAGTTATTTCATTAATTAGAATTAAGGGTTAACAATTGTTATAAAAATTATTTACTTTTTGCACTTTTTATTAAATTTTAAAAGAAAGTGTATTTAGCCCACTGTGCAGTGTAACCGTATGCGTCAGGCGTTAGGGAATTTTCCGTACTTCTGCAGCAACAGCTGTTCAACCGCCGTGTTATTGTAGATTCTCCTGCACTTTTATGACTTAAAACTCATAGTTCAAGGCTTTAAATATTAAATAAGGACACTCAATAGCCACCACTATCCGCCAGCCAAGATGCCTTCCTACGAATTAGCCCTGGTGCTGCGCCAGTTGCCCCGCGTGAGTAGCACATGAAGACCACCGGCTAAGGTTACATAAAAGTAAATAAGAAATGTGTATTATTTTCACAGCCCGAACTGATTTCCGTGATCAAGCGGACGGCAGAGTCGATCCTGGACAAAGGAGGCATCATCCGCAAGCTGGAGAACCTGGGAACCCGCGCTCTGCCCCACAAAGTCAGCGAACACGGAGTGGTTCATCGCGAGGGCACCCACTTCACCATCGCTTTCGACACGGCGCCCACGAGGATTGCTGACCTAAAAGAAGAATTCGGCCGGGATATCGACATCGTTCGTCGCTATATCTTCAAGGTGGAGGAACCGGAGGTTAAGCCCTGCACGCTGCACGAGGAGATGCTGCCGCCCGCCTATCGCAAGGATGTCCAGGAGATCATCGCAGCGGCCCAGAAAAAGCAGAAGAAGAAGTACAATTACAACTCCGGTTTGGACTACTATCCCTTCCAGAAGTAGAAGCCTCAATAAAGCTAAAAATCTATTCTCTAAAACAACCAATGGAATCTGCGATCTTTGGCTAATTTAAACTGAAGTATTCCTTATGAAGTTGCTTTGCTTATCTTTGCATATTCCAAACAGTGTTTGTCTTTGCTTAGTATTTATGGCCCCCAATCGTAGGACGCTTATCAGGCAAATTGATAAGGCTCCGTATAAAAATCAACAATCGATAGAACGTAGATAGGACTGTTAGTACCTCAAGAAACCTGAAACCCAGCAGTTCAAGAAAATGCCTCTCCAAATCCGCCCACTCACTCCAGAGCTGCAAAAAGTGGCCAAAGAGCAGCTGAAGGAGGATCCCCAGCGTCTGGAGGCCGATCTGCTGGCTTTCAGGACCTGGATTGAGCAGCAGCCCCATCTGAATCCCCGCATGGATGATCAGTTCCTGGTGGCCTTCCTGCGCGGCTGCAAATTCAGTTTGGAGCGGGCCAAGTCCAAGCTAGATAAGTTCTACACGCTGAAGACCAAGTATCCGGAATACTTTAGGATAACCAGTACTACAGAGAGCAACTTCCGGGAGATTCTCCAAACGGGGTAAGGAAAATGATGAGAAAAACTATCAAAAATCCATTAACCAATCACCATACATATTTGAAATAGTGCTATCACCTACCTGCCCACTCCTCTGAATGAAAATGGACCTCGAATTGCCGTTTGGCGGATGGGTTTGTGTCCAATGGATAAGTATAACATCATGGAGTGCATGAAAGTGGCCCAGGCCATGCAGGAGATTGCCATTCTGGAGGATGACTATGCGAATGTTAATGGAGTCGTCTCTATAATGGATCTAAAAGGAGCCACTGCGGCTCATATGTTCCAAATGACTCCCTCGATGGCCAAGAAATTCACTGTGTTCTCCGAGGAGGCTATTCCGCTGCGTCTAAAAGCCCAGCATTTTATAAACACCATCACTGGATTCGAACAGCTCTTCAACATGTTCAAACCGATGATGTCCAAGAAGATGCAGTCACGACTCTTTGTACATGGCAACAAAATGGATTTGTTGACGGAGCAAATTCCCCTGAAATATCTACCCGTGGAATATGGCGGGGAAAATGGCACAGTGCCGGAAATTGTGGCCGCTTGGGAGAAGAAGTTGGATGAATACACCGACTTTTTCAGGGACAATGCCAACTATGGAACCGATGAGAGCCTGCGGCCAGGAAAACCCATTGATTTTGAGGGGCTTTTTGGAATCGAAGGCTCCTTCAGGAAGCTCAATGTAGATTGATACGGAGGGCGGACTAAGGGGTTGCCCAAAATGCAAAAGAAGAAGTGCAAATACAACTCCGGTTTGGACTACCATCCCTTCCAGAAGTAGAAGCCTCAATAAAACCAAAAATCTATTCTAAGAGAGAACCAATGGAATCCCCGATCTTTGGCTAATTTAAACTAAAGTATTCATTATGAAATTGCATTGCCTATCACACAGTGTTTGTCTTTGTTTAGTATTTATGGTCGACAATCGTAGGACGCTTATCAGGCAAATTGATAAAGCTCCCTATAAAAATCAACCATCGATAGAACGTAGGAGGACAGTTAGTGCCTCAAGAAACCTGAAACCCACCAGTTCACTAGTACTTCTTTATAAACGACCAAGAAAATGCCTCCCCAAATACGCCCACTCACGCCAGAGCTGCAAAAAGTGGCCAAGGAGCAGCTCATGGAGGACCCCGCTCGTCTCGAGGCCGATTTGCTGGCTTTCAGGACCTGGATCGAACAGCAGCCCCATCTGAATCCCCGCATGGATGATCAGTTTTTGGTGGCCTTCCTTCGCGGCTGCAAATTCAGTTTGGAGCGGGCCAAGTCCAAGTTAGATAAATTCTACACGCTAAAGACCAAGTATCCGGAATACTTTAGGATAACTAGTACTACAGAGGGAAAGTTCCGAGAGATTCACCGAACGGGGTAAGGAATATGATGAGAAAAACTATCAAAAAACCATAAACTTATCACTATAAAAAATCTGTAATAGAGCAATCATCTACCTGCCTACCCCTTTGAATGAAAACGGACCTCGAATCGCCATTTCGCGAATGGGTTTGTGCCCAGTGGATAAGTATACCTTGCTAGAGTGCATGCAAGTGGCCCAAGCCATGCAGGAAATTGCCATTTTGGAGGATGACTATGCCAATGTTAATGGACTCGTCTTTATAATGGACCTCAAGGGAGCCACTGCAGCGCACATGTTCCAAATGACTCCCTCGATGGCCAAGAAATTCACAGTGTTCTCCGAGGAGGCTCTGCCGCTGCGTTTGAAGGCACAACATTTCATCAATACAATAGCAGGATTCGAACCGATCTTTAACATGTTCAAACCCATGATGTCCAAGAAGATGCAGTCACGTCTGTTTGTGCATGGCAACAAAATGGATTTGTTGACGGAGCAGATTCCCCTGAAATATCTCCCCGTGGAATATGGCGGAGAGAATGGCACCGTGCCGGAAATCGTCGCCGCAATGGAGAAGAAATTTGATGAGTACAGCGAATTCTTCAGGGATAATGCCAACTATGGAACCGACGAGAGCCTGCGACCGGGAAAACCCATCGATTTTGAAGGGCTCTTTGGAATCGAGGGTTCCTTCAGGAAGCTCAATGTGGATTGATACTGGACAAAGGAGGCATTATCCGGAAACTATAGAGCCAGGGAATCCACGTTCTGCCCTACCAAGCCGCTCAGCAATAGCAAAGAAAAAATACAATTTCAACTCCGGTTTGGACTACTATCCCTTCCAGAAGTAGTACTACCCTAAATAAAACTAAAAATCTTTTCTCTAAAATACCCAATGGAATCCCCGATCTTTGGCTAATTTAAACTGAAGTATTCCTTATGAAATTGCTTTACTTATCTTTGCATATTGCAAACAGTGTTTGTCTTTGTTTAGTTTTTATGGCCCCCAATCGGTGAAGGCTTATCAGGCAATTGATAAAGCTCCGTAATGGAATCAACCATCAATAGAACGTAGATTGGGCAGTTAGTGCCTCAAGAAACCTGAAACCCACCAGTTCGCTAGTACTTCCCTTTACGGCTTATAAAATGGCTCCTAAAATCCGCCCACTCACGCCAGAGCTGCAAAAAGCGGCCAAAGAGCAGCTAAAGGAGGATCCCCAACGTCTGGAAGCGGATCTGCAGGCTTTTAGGACCTGGATTGAGCAGCAGCCTCATCTCAATCCCCGCATGGATGATCAGTTCCTGGTGGCCTTCCTGCGCGGCTGCAAATTCAGTTTGGAGCGGGCCAAGTCCAAGTTAGATAAGTTCTACACGCTGAAGACCAAGTATCCGGAATACTTTAAGGTTACGAGTACTACAGAGGGCAAGTTCCGGGAGATACACCAAACGGGGTGAGAAATATTGAAATAATTATGGAAAAAGTCTTGTAATTTATGAATATAATATTTTTAAACAGGGCCATTATCTACCTGCCCACTCCTTTGAATGAAACAGGACCTCGAATTGGCATCTGGAGGATGGGCTTGTGTCCCGTGGAGAAGTATACCATCCTGGAGTGCATGCAAGTGGCCCAAGCCATGCAGGAGATTGCCATTCTGGAGGACGACTATGCCAATGTCAATGGAGTCGTCTTTATAATGGACTTAAAGGGAGCTACTGCCGCGCACATGTTCCAAATGACTCCCTCGATGGCCAAGAAATTTACTGTGTTTTCGGAGGAAGCTCTGCCGCTGCGTTTGAAGGCACAACATTTTATAAATACCATCACTGGATTCGAACAGCTCTTCAACATGTTCAAGCCGATGATGTCCAAGAAGATGCAGTCACGACTCTTTGTGCATGGCAACAAAATGGATCTGTTGACGGAACAGATTCCTCTGAAATATCTCCCCGTGGAATATGGTGGCGAAAATGGAACAGTGCCGGAAATTGTGGCGGCGATGGAGAAGAAAATGGATGAGTACAGCGACTTCTTCAGGGATAATGCCAACTATGGAACCGATGAAAGCCTGCGTCCGGGAAAACCCATTGATTTTGAGGGGCTTTTTGGAATCGAAGGTTCCTTTAGGAAGCTCAATGTGGATTAACATGAATATATTCGTTCCAGAGATTGCGTTTTTGTTATCATAATTATTTGTTGAAGTGAAAGACTTTTCCCAACCCTATAAATTATAAAAAAACATTCTTTTAAATGAGAGCAATAATATTTTAGAAAATAGATTTGAAGTTGAGGTATTTTAAGGATAAATGCAATAATAGTTCAATTGGTATTAAAATATGTCCTTTTTTATAGTATATCTCTTTTTTATTTACAGTTATCATAGTATTAACTCCTTAAATCCTCATCTATAGAAGCAAATCTTTCGCTGCCATTTAGTGGGAGTAGATTCGAATGTCTTCCTTCGGTCGAGTGTATCTTCCAGATACTTTTCTATTTGCAGCTCCACATCAGATCGCCACTTGAGTTCTAGGAAAAGGGGAAAGACTTCTCCTGCTTTTTTCAGACGTTTCTCAGCTTTTTGATAACATTTCCAAGGTTGTGGTTCTACCACTAGAAGTTCCGCCAGATTGGAGAGCTTCTTCAGAAACAATTGCAGGCCCTGATCGTGATGATTTAGGTGAATCCACATGGTAATGGAGTAGCAGCAAATGGCATCGAACTTCTGGCGATTGTGGGTCTTCAAATAGGTTCTCAGGGATTCAAAGGCCCCATCATCTAGGACATCCACGCAGGCGTAGTTTATATTATCCGGGGATTCATTTTCCTCAATAGCACGCTGTATGAGACGATTGTCTATATCTACTCCTAGGATTTTCACAGATCTCTGAAGACGTTCCTCCAAGTATTTGTGCAGAAGTTGGGTAAACACCCCGCAATTGCAGCCCACATCAAGGACAATATAGGGAGTACTTCCTGGTGATTCCTTATCATCTGTGGAAGGTAACCATATATCTTTATCCGGCAAGAGTTTTACACGTTCTGGGGCGGAATTGAATTGGTAATAGTTGAAAAAGTTGCCATATTGAACGGCGCCGGGATCATTGTTTCTAATTTCCATGATATAGAGTTATTTATTGTTTATAAGCACGTTTAAATAAATGTAATACTATAGTATGACAGTGGGCCAAAATACCAATTTGTGGGCACATTAAAAGAACTAAAGCGCCATCTATAGCGGAACACATTCGCCATCTACAATTTTTACAGATTCAGTGCTGTAAAACAAATTTTTGCCAAGAGACCGCGAAATTCAAATAAAACTCTCCATACCTTATCATCATTTTTGCATTTATTTACTGCGTTCACTGTTTATATTTTGTCGAAACGCCTTTTCTATCTGCTTATACGGCTCTAACAATTTCCTTACACCTAAAAATCGATAACACTTGCTTCCTTTTGGTGTCTAAATTAGTTTCGAACTATAACTAAATGTACAAAAGATCGTCAATGAAATGTACAACAATAAAATAAATATACACAATGTTTCGTTTTCAAAATTTTCGTTCAATATTTTCACATTTGGCATGTTTGGCGGTCAAGAATAATATTCCGTAATAATATTCAACGACAAACACTCGACTTGGGACCCTGGACGCTTCATCGGCGGAGCCTGGGAAACTGAATTTGACCCACTAAGGGAACTAGGCGAAATTATGGGTAGTCCCCACCGAAATCGAAGCGTTCAGGGGCGGCCAAAAGAAAATAACAGGTTGGCTGATAAGTCCCCGGTCTAACAAAGAAAAAAATTTTTTTTTGTCAAAATTCGATTTTATTATTCAACATAGATCCCTTCAAGAGCGATACAACGATTATAGCGACCTTCCAATTTTTTGATACCATTTTGGTAGTACTCCTTCGGTTTTGCCTCAAAATAGGCCTCAGTTTCGGCGATCACCTCATCATTGCTGCCAAATTTTTTCCCTGCGAGCATCCTTTTGAGGTCTGAGAACAAGAAAAAGTCGCTGGGGGCCAGATCTGGAGAATATGGTGGGTGGGGAAGCAATTCGAAGCCCAATTCATGAATTTTTGCCATCGTTCTCAATGACTTGTGGCACGGTGCGTTGTCTTGGTGGAACAACACTTTTTTCTTCTGCATATGGGGCCGTTTTGCCGCGATTTCGAACTTCAAACGCTCCAATAACGCCATATAATAGTCACTGTTGATGGTTTTTCCCTTATCAAGATAATCGATAAATATTATTCCACGCGCATCCCAAAAAACAGAGGCCATTACTTTGCCAGCGGACTTTTGAGTCTTTCCACGCTTCGGAGTCGGTTCACCGGTCGCTGTCCACTCAGCCGACTGTCTATTGGACTCAGGAGTGTAGTGATGGAGAAATGTTTCATCCATTGTCACATATCGACGCAAAAACTCGGGTGTATTACGAGTTAACAGCTGCAAACACCGCTCAGAATCATCAACACGTTGTTGTTTTTGGTCAAATGTGAGCTCGCGCGGCACCCATTTTGCACAGAGCTTCCGCATATCCAAATGTTGATGAATGATATGACCAGCTCGTTCCTTTGATATCTTTAAGCCCTCTGCTATCTCGATCAACTTTATTTTTCGGTCATTCAAAATCATTTTGTGGATTTTTTTGATGTTTTCGACGGTAACCACCTCTTTCGGGCGTCCACTGCGTTCACCGTCCTCCGTGCTCATTTCACCACGCTTGAATTTAGCATACCAATCAATTATTGTGGATTTCCCTGGGGCAGACTCCGGAAACTCAGTATCAAGCCAAGTTTTCGCTTCCACGGTATTTTTTCCCTTCAGAAAACAGTATTTTATCAAAACACGAAATTCCTTTTTTTCCATTTTTTTCACCATAACCAAAGTTGCTTCACAAAAGACGCTCTATCTCACAAACTAATTGACTGACAGACGTCAAATTTTGACACGAACCATTTGAAGGTTAGTACTTTATAAAAATAATATGCATTTAATACTAGCGACGCCACCTATGTGTCAGACCGGGGACTTATCAGCCAACCTATTATGTACATACAACACATGGGCCGATTTTGTTAACAACGATCGAAACTTGACACTAGCCTATCCTTTCAATTTTATTATTATTTATTTATATCGCTAAGAACTACTGGAAATGTTTTTCGGGTTTTCTCGTTTTTGGATTTTTTAACATTTTTGCTGTGTTGAGTTTTTCGTATTTATTTAGTGGGCCTGGGTTTTCCGTTTCTAAAGCGCAATCGCAAAGCGTGCGAAAATTGAATTTGTTGTTGAATTTAGAATTCTTAATTTCCGGCCCGTCGTCAAGTTTGGCAAATTGTTTAATAAACTCTACACGATTTGTTTGTAAAATTCTAAATGCTACTTAATATGGACTTTGAAAAAGGTTTTTATGTTATACTTATGCGTTCTTTAGATAATTTTTATATATTTTTTTAAGTAGTAGCACGTTTTGAACTTTTAAACCGGAAACGGAAATGTTGTTCTTGCCTAGTGAATTGTCTCTTGTCTACGAATTAGAATTAGAATAATCGCTGCTACATATATATGTATATGGCTATAGTTAAGTACAAGTATATACGTGGTAAGCTCATAAATACACAATAATAATCGTCAATCAATCAATCAATTAATCAATCATAATTGGATACGCTAAAAACTCTTAGCTTAGCTTAGTTCTAGAAATATGAATATGTCTTTCAACGTGTATGTGTTTTTGGTGTCTGCTTGGTTGTGGGTTTTGGGTGGTTGAGTGGCTGAGTGGTTGCGTTTTTGAGTGGTTGCGTTTTTCAGTGGCTGTGTTTTGTGGTGCTTTCATTGGCATGTCGCGTAGCGCCAAACGGCCCGTAAATATGCAACTATATGGCAAACAGGCAAGTAAGTGTTTATATATAGAGAGATATATAGAGAGAGATTGTTGAAGGAAATGGCTCAATGCAATTACAACCAATTTTATTTTAATTTACTTGCAGGACTTTGTGGTTCTTCTCAAAGGGATGGCGGAAAGGGGTTGGGGATTTTGGGGGATTTTTTTTTATTAATATTTTTTGTTTTTTTTGAGGAGAATGAAAATCTAAATCTAACTCTAGTCATCTGGGTCCAACCCGATTAGCTCTGCTTGCAAACGGCCCTTAGTCTTACAACAAATGGTTAAGCAAAATACTCTCAAAGCGATACGGAATTGCGGCGACATACTGGTCATGATTAGAATTTTCCAAAACGAATTCAATATGCCGATCCAGACGACGGCGAAGTTGATAAGAGTACTTTGGATAACATCGCCCGTGACCACCTCATACAGACGCAACAGAATCCATGGCAGCCAGGACACCCAGAATGCAAAGACTAATGCGAATGACATCATATGACTAGGGTTCGATAAATTTTCAGCCAGAGCAGTTGCATATTCTTTATCGTGTATCGGCTCGCCGGACCTAATCTTACGCATCATTACAAAGATATAGCCGTAGTTGTGTACGATTGAAATGAGGCTGGGACCTAAGACTAAAATCGCCAATGTCACGGTATAAGCCGCCATATTCCCCCAGTCGAGCATGCAAATGTGGGTCATGTTGTTCTCAATGGGCATCGAGTAGCCCAAAATCGGGGGGCAGCAGAGCAGGGCCGCCGATATCCAGGTGAACACCATCCAGCATTGACATCTAAGGGATATGCATAAAAAGATGGGAGGTTAATTCGGTTCAGGATAATTGGGAATTTTTAAATATATATTATCCTAATTTATTATAATCCTAAAAAAGATTTTATATTAGCCTAATATTATTAGGTATTACAAAACATGAATATTTTTTCTTATTAAAAAATATTTTTATGCTGTTGGATTACTAGGGAAATATATATCAAATGAAATTTTGTTTAAGTATTTAAAAGGTATCAAAATTAAAAAAAAAATACACATGTATCACTTAAAATATTTTTAAAACTTTATAAAATATGAAAGATAGAAATACAAATTCCTAATTTCTTAAAGAGTAGAATAATATATTTTTAAAAAATATTATATTATTTATTTTATAATTTTATTTATAGATCTAGAGATCCCCCTCTCACCTCGTCTTCGTTTGGACCGTTTCATATCGCAGTGGCTTGCGCACCGCCAAATACCGATCCACCGATATCCACATAAAGGTGTACACCGAAACCGCCCACAGGGTGACCTCCAGGTAACCCGTGAAGCGGCACACGATGTCGCCGTACATCCATTCTCCAGTTAGGGCGGGATATACGGAGAAGGGAACCACCAGCAGTCCGCAGAGCAGATCGGCAATGGCCAGGGACAACAGGTAGTAGTTTATCACCTCTGTGGGTCCTGTGGACACATTTATCGTTAGGTGGTGAACTAATTAAATTATTATAAAATAAAAAGCAAATGCAAACAATAAATGATTCATTCAATACATTTTTTGGGCGAATCTATTTTACGACATTCACTAGAACTATAGCCTAAGGAATTTGGTAATTTATTCAAAATAATAAAAAGAAAATATTTTAGATCGGTTAAAGGTAAAATCTTTTAAATTTAATAAATAATATTCTTTAAGCAAAATGTTTTGTTTTTTAAATATTTAATGCATTTAAGACAACAAAAACACATGACACTTAAATAAAGAAAGATGCTGTTTTACTTCATACATTTTTTTCCACTTTTTTACACTATAAATATTAAGGATGCATTTCAAATATAAATATTGGGTTTTAATGGTCAAAATAAGTAAATTATTTAATTAAGATATAACACATATTTGGAGGTGCCATAGAATTAGCTGGGTTTTCGAAATCACTTTAAAATACAAATTTAGGTGTCTAAAAGTATGCAACAACATATTTTCAACCCAAAACTGGTTTGAATTCATACAGCAAGACGACTATTCTTTATTCACTGCATACTTTTAGGCAGAAAATTAAGTGATTTGGAAAACCTAGCTATTTCTATTGCAACCTCTATTACTTTTCTTTGTTATGAAAATAGAGAGTTCTGAAGACCAAACCTAACCGCGTTCAAGATGTTTTCCTGTTGAAAGCATTAAGCGAATATGTTATTCGTGTGCAACGTACCCTTGAAGTTGGCATAGGTGGCGATGATGAGGAGGTTGGACAGGACGATGGCCACGCCCAGTATCGAAATGAGCACCGCCTTGGTGAGGGCCTCTATCTTGGAATTATCCTGTAGGTAGCTCATTTCCTGCATTTTTAGAGGGGGCGCTCCTGTGTGCTCGTTGTTTTTATATCTCCTCCTTCTAGCCTTCTTCTTTATCACCTGCTTTCACTGCTTTCTCCTGCTTTCTCCCGCTGACTACCTTCTTGGCGGCTCCTTGGCGGGCTGATTGTTATGCAAAGGCCAGTGGACGTGGACGTGACCGTACTTCACTTCCGGTCATGGCGGCCGCCCATGCAATTGTCCTGTGGTTTTTGAGAATGTGTGTGAAGGTGTGTGTTTTTTTCTATGTGTCTAGGTGAGTTTAGGGGTGTGTGTGTGTGTGTCTGTGGCTGAGAGTGTTAGTGGCGTCCTTTATTGTGCAACGACGCTTGCACACGCGAAGGTCGTCGGAGTCCTTGGCGCTGTTTTCGTCCTTTTTCTTCCTCCTTCTCCTTCCACCGCTGGCGCCAAATTTGTATAAATTTTCTACTGCCTACTTTTTCGGGCTGTACTTTGTGCTGCTGCCTACTTTTTGGCGCTGAGCCAGCGCATTTGATTGTTAGCCTCACAAAACCTGTGGTTAAGGTTAAGGATAAGGTTCTTCTGTTCTGTTCTTTTTTATCGTGTGTGTTTTTGAAGCTCGTTTAAAAATTTTGCTTGGATTAAAATCTTACATTTAAAATCTACTAATTGCGTACAATTTTGTTGTCTAATTTAAAGGTTTGTTAACCGTTTTTTTGGGTTTCTCCTTTTGTTTTGTTAAATTCACAACGCTCTTTGCTAAGTTTTAATGAACGTTAAACAGTTATGCTCCTTTCGGTATTAATAATTTCGCTACTAGTGTTTAATATCGATTTAAAAATGTACACATTTCAAACTCGCAAGTGGAAGAATAATGATTATTGTTATTATTATTTAATGTGTAATAATTACGCGGTTCGTTTCGGGGTTGTTTTCGTGTTGTTTTTGTGTGTTGTTTTTACTATAATTAAAGCACAGCACAAATGGTTTTGTTGTTGTTTCGTAAGGCTTCTGTTGTGCTACATTTAAGTTGTTAAAATAGTTCGATAATATAGTTCGGTTGTTTAGTACTCGGTTTTTGGTATCTTTATTTCGCTGCTTGGTGATTGTGATTATCCGTTTGCTTGTAAATTCTGGCTGTTGTTGTTGCTGCTGCTGCTGTTGCTCTGCACGTCCTGCTGTCAGTTTAAGCTAATTGTGCGCATCTGCAAGGACAAAGGGTTTTAAATAGTTTAAATAGAATCTCGCATCTTGAGCCAATCAATAAATTATCCCACATGAGGGAGAAGCAGGCGGAAAAAGCCTTTTAGCTGCACAAACGCTTTACATAAGCGTGCTTATCCTGAGGCCCGTCACTTGCCTGCTATTTCAGAGTCACCCAAAACCCCACCACCCACTTTTCCCGCCTGCAATGACCCACTTTGCGGTGCCACTTGACACAGTTTGAGAGCCATAGCTGTCACTGGCCGGCTGCTCAAACTGGGTTCGCCTCTCGAGGGCCTGGAACTGTTAAAAATCTCGAGGGGTCTGCGCTTTGGTCTCTATTTGCGGACCACCGTCATCGATCACGCCCACTCTATCCATTTTTAACGATTCCCTCGCAAGTGCTGCTGATTTGGGTAGTTTCTGGCCATGTTGGGATTAAAAGGTTGGAGATTATTCTAGGGGACTACATATGTTTAAAGATATTCGATTGTATAAAATACCAATAATATAAATAAATAAATATTAAATATTTATTTAACAAACAATCGGAGAATTTTCGTTGAACTTCTTAACAGAATTATATACAACTAAAAAGCTTATTTTAAAATGATACGTATATCCATAAATAAGATTCCTCTTAAAACTTTTAATTTGTGTTTTTGTTATTTATATTTCAAAATAAATGTCATACACAAATTGGGAATTTATTAATTTATTTATTAATCTCTCTTAATAATCACTTTTTTTTATTATTTTTTATCTCATTGTTGCTTTTTATATTTAATAAATTAATTAATAATGTTTTTTTATTAAATTTATTATTTTTTCCAAAAGTTTCCTGCTCTTTTACACAATAAAATGTTAATATTTTAAAGTTATATTCAATTGTCACCACTGATTTTACATGGCAGCCTCCATCACTCAGACATTCACTACGTCATCGAGCCATTTTCCACGCAGACACAAACACAAACACCATTATCAAATGCCATTAGACATCGACGGGGGGTTGGTCCATGTGCCAAAGGAGGATGCCATTAGGGGGTGGCATTAGGGGATGTCGCTGAGTGAGGTAACAAGTTTGTCATTTACGTCGGGCATCCTCTGCCCCTCTTGGTAATTTAATTAACGATAACGGGGTAACGCTTTGGGGTTCGACAGTCAGTCACTGGCCAGGTAATAAATATCAATGAATTGCATTACAAACACCTCTCTACATCTAACATCCAAGCGCCATAGAACATAATTTCCCCACCTGATTGTCAATCATTACGTAAGCCCCTGCAGTTGACGACGGCAAAGCGAGGTAGCAAACGTCATTTGTGCAAATGACTTCCTGGCCTACGGACCCATTCAAATCCACTCCGCTTCTCCCCGCACTGCAATTACGCTGAAATAACTGTTATTGCTGTCAACTTCGCATAATGAGTGTCCCCTTTCCCTGGGAAAGCCCCCTTGAAAAACCGGAAACCCAGAGAAATGGGTTCAGCGAACCCTCTGCTCGTTTTTCTTGGAAGGATAATCAATGAGCGCGACCGGTGATTAATTATGTAAATATATGTGTTCATTGTTCTTCGCGGGAAACGAATCGCTAACAAGCTGATGAGATTTTGATTGCCACTGGGAGCCACAGAGCAGCCCATTAAGCCTCTGGCATAATTAAAAATAATATGTGGCCTGCTTTTCAGGGGCAGTCATTTAGTTAAAAAAAATAAACCTTTTTTGACCCACTTCAATACAGAGATACGTATTTCAGAAAGCTGGAAGCTGGGCTATGGAAAATGAAGCTCAAGCTTCAATTGAAAATTAAACTGACCCACATATCTGACCATTAAAGCTTATGACGAATAAGAAACCAAACGTACATAAATATAAGCATTAAAAAGCAGTAAAATAATAAAATAGAAACTAAGACAATTTCATAATTTTGTATAATGTTCAATACAAAATTATTTATTGTACAGGCCGCTCTAATTAAATCTAATTTGCTGTCAAATCTGATTAGTTATTAGAGAGCACAAGATAAGCTTACTTTAAAATTTATTTCACAGCAACAGGTACATTTATAATAATTTTAATAATTGATAAAATCGATAAAATAAATGAATTACAGTTTAAAATGTTTCATTTTTGATCTTATTTTAATTATATGTAATAGTTTAAAATCGACTTGTGTTCAAGTTATTATTGAAACTTTAGTTTTTCTTTATTTATTTCTTAAAAACTCAATTTTGTGATAAGTCTTAATGTTTAAATATTCGTTTAAATACCTTTCTTTCATTTGTGTATGTAACTGGTAACTATATGTAAGTAGCCTACATTCCCGAAACGCACTGTATGTTTGCGCCCGACTTTCCGTTGGCCTGTTTTCATTTCTTCTGCTGTAGATTTTCCTGCGTTTCGGAGACCCCATAAAATATGTATCCCATGCGTGTTTTATGTCGCCTCGGAAAACACACAAAAAAGTTTGAGCCCGAAACGAAACACAAACAAAAGGCGGAAAACCATCGAATGTGAGACACTGTCATAAAACCATATATAAAATCGTGTATAAAACCATATATATATATATCCAAATGTCAGGCAGGTGGGAAGGACGACGAATGAAAGTCGCAGGATGGAGAGAAAAGCTTTTGGGTGCGCTATAAATAAACTTTTCGGCTTGGCTACGTGTTTAAATAAAATTGCGAAATACCGCAACAAAGGCCAAGGCAAAACGGGCTGCAGGCCCAAGAAGAAGGATACTACACTACCAACCGTTTTGATGACGTTAGTTGTTGGCAGGAGGGAAGCCTCAGGACGAACGAAAAGTGGGTGGTGGGTGGATGGGTGGGTGACAAGGCTGCTGTGCCACGTCATCATCATCGTCGCCATCCACGTGGCTGCGTCTTTACATAAGCATGACCTCACCTTGGCTTTTATTTGCAGCCCACCAGCACAGCAGCAGCTATTTTACTATTTGAATATTTTATTAAGGCCCACCTGTTTTTCGCCCAGTGCATAATTTATGCTTACGCATGTCAAATGTCGCATATGCCTGCAAAATGCAAAGTCCTTCGGAGGAGAAGGGGGCGTGGTCCCAGGCTAGACTCTTGGCAGCTCCTGTCACTCAGTGGCTTAAGGACTTTGCAGGCGGCGGTCCTGCAGCCTGTTGCTTCGCCTGTTCGCCCAACGCATCGCTCTCACCGAGCCAAACTTTTGGCCACAAACTTTTGTCAACCCCAAAAAATGCCTGCAGGCAATTTGCAATTAAAGTGACAGAAAGCTGGTAACTTTACCACAAAATGCAACAGTTCCGGTCACAAGAAATTGACAGAAGTTCAATAGAATATTGGTAACAAGAAGTAACTAGAAATTATTGAATATTTATAATTTAATTTAAATTAAATATGCAAACCAAATGAAAACAAAGAAAAATTGAAAAGAATATTGGCAATAAAAAGAAGCTGTATATTATAAACTTAGTTTTTAAGCAACAATTGAACTCTTAAAATTTAATTTAAAGCCCCCTTTAAATTAGGCTTGACTTTTTATTAAAGAATAATGTTATCTATATATTTATTTTTATTTTTATAAATAAGCAAAAAATTTATTAAATAAGATCTGCAAAAATCGATACCTATAAAGGGCCCCTCAACCAAAAGTGTCACCGAAATTTGCCCATCTGTGAGAAATCCCCATGTTGGCATAATAATAATAAGCAGCGCCCGAAAACAGTAATTTCGCCGAAAGGAACGCCATAAAAAAAAGAAATCCAATTTCCCTATGAAATGCCCTGAATATTTTTCTGTCCTCAAAATAAATGTCGGCGGGGGGCTGCGTGATTGGGCCAACTTAAATTCACGTGCTACCCGCTGTTATGGCCATAAACCGCATTGTGAAATGCCGTACCACATGTCGTATACGCAATGCTTTTATTTGGGCCAATTTTGCGTTGCGAGGGCGTTGCGATAGTCGGGTTTTTGGGGGCGTGGCTCGGGCCAAGGGCAAACAGCGACTTGGCGACGCGCGTGGTGTAGTTTTATATTGTTTTATTCCCCCGCCGGATTTTTCTTACTAATTCTGATTTCCCCTTGGTGGAAAAAGTTTTCTCTGTTTTTTTCTTTGAATTAGCTTGAATATTGCAAAATGCAAGGGCTTGCAGATGTTTCGCACACACAATTGACAAGGTCACAGTCATGGGCTGTCCTTTTCATTCACTTTCACCCGCAAACCCACTCGACAACGTGACGTATGCGTAATAAATAAGACTTGCGGCACTCGGCGCGCTAAGGACAATTGTATTGGCTCCTGATACCGGCTATATCCTTACACATACCATTACACTCACACACACAATCAAGCAGTGGAACAATCGATCAATAAAAAAAGCAACCACGACACGAAATTCATTTCAATGCTGCGACTTGACATTCAGTCAAGGCGTTCAATAGCAAAGCCAGCCAGTCAGTCAGTCGGCCAATCAATATCGCAATGCATCAATTTGTCATTCGCGCCATGGCTCCTTTTCACTGAGCGTTGTTGTTGGCTGCTTAAATGCAGCAACTTGTTTATTTGTTGCTGTTATTTGCTGTCTGATTGATAAGCAAAGGCAAAAGAGGGGAAATGAATAGAGCCAATGGTCTCCGCGAAGAGGGTGCGATTGGAACGCGGGATCATGACGGTGCGGTTTTTATGCGCGTACAGAGAAAGAAAAATTATTTAAAATTATGGGGTATTATCATAGGATTTTTAGTATTTTAACCGATATAGTTGCAAGTCCTTTCTTTTGGGAAATTATGATTAAAATATTTCCAAAAAGTTTTATGACTTTTAAAGATTTTTAACAGGTTATTAAAATACTTTTTAAATATGTTTAAACACTTTTACAAATCTTTAAAATTTATACAAATATTTTGGAAGTATTTGAATCAATATTAATATATTAAATCTAAATATTTTCTTCCTATTTTAAATTCTTTTAAATTTGTACTATTTTGCAGAAAGTTTTTCTTCATTAAAAACTTATTAGGATTAAATTTATGTTTTTTTTTGTTTCTTAATAATCAACAAAACTTCTTTGATAAACCCCAAATTTATTTAATTTAATCCATTCTCTTTTATTTTTTCCCAGTGCACACAAGGCTCATCCGTCGCCTTGTTACTTGTATTTCATTTGCAATTTATTGGCTCAATGTGCAAACTGACGCTGAAAGCGCTGCCAAGTCTGATCGGGATTGGGATGGGGATTGGATTGAGACGAGACGGAAGCTCTGAGGACGGTTTGACATTTAACCAATTTGTTCGCAGCAGCTGCCAAATGCACACTGTGAAACGAGTTTGTATCTGTATCTGTAGCTGTTTGCCCAGTTTGCCCATGGGGAAAGGGAATTATCAGGAATCCAAAGAAATGAAAAGGAAATAGAAAAGCTGGCGGCAATTAGTTGGCACCAGCCCAGGGCCACGCCCATCATAAATATATAAATCAAGGCGGTCACAGCCCACAACTAATTAGACGATGGCCAGGACAAACAGAAAGTTGCGATTTGTGTGTGTGTGCGTGAGAAAGGAGGTGAACGGGAAATGCGGGAAATTTGGAAAAACCAGTGGGTGAGGAAAATTGAGAGCGGAAAATAGGGGAGTGCTGGAGAATTTAGGCTGAGTGGGTGTGTGCCCATTTAGGCCGGCCATCGACCAGCTTTTGTTTTGTTTTTCCTCGGAGGTTTTGGCTAAAATGTTTTCCTTTCATTTGGCTAAATGCTTTTTTTTTGTGTGCAAAAGCAAATTGCGTTAGTTTATGGGGTATAACCGAACAATTAGTAAAATGTCACAATGTTTAGAACAAATAATATGTAAACAAAATATATTTTAAAAGACTACTAAACTTTATAAATTTTTTAACTTCATTTAAATATTTTTTAAAAGTTTTGCCAAGAGTATTTGATAGTCCACCCTATAAAATTCCATCTGAATTTAAGTACCTATATATTCTTTTAAGTTTGTTGTTGTTATTTCAGAATATTTAAATATAGAAACACTTTTTTGTTTGCCTCATCTGTTTGGCTATTTGTTGTCAAACCTAAAAGCCGCCAAAAAACAGCGGCACTCTTACTTTCCAAAATTTGTATTTGTCGGTGCCGCAAAATATAAAAAACACGCGACATTTGCCAAATGCAGACACGTTGTGGCCATAAATCAACAAAGATATAAATTTCTGAATATATATTGGAAAAATTTTTTTAGATGGAAAGTAGAAAAAAAATAAGCTCAATTTAATTGAATTGAATTATTGAAAAGTTATGAGAGATTTTATCATATTAATTCAATTGAATTTCAATAATCATAGACCTATATCATAATGCTAACCCAGAAATTAAATTGATGTACGATATTAACTAATGAATTTATAAAAATGTTTAATAAAACATTTAAAAGATTTAACTCAGAAATATAAGATATGGTAACTACATATTTACTGTAATTTATTAAAATATTATATCTAAAAGTATTTACTACGCTTAGGCAAAAATGAAGTACACTAATTTAAGCCCCATTGCAAAATGTCAGCTAAGGTTAATGCTACCATTTTAGTTCAAGGGTGAAAACCCCGGCATTTACTGACAATAGCCCACTCTGGAATTTAACCCCCTCTTAAACCTCCAACTTCCATATGCAAATGTGTGGGCAGCAGCAGCTGCGGCATTTTGCTTCCTTTATCGCACTAATTGAATACGTGTTTCGAACACACAAAACGGCAAAGAAAAGGATGGTGGACAATCGCAGTCGTCACACGTCACGACTCATAAATGGAAAGCGGGAAAAGTGGGAAAAGCGAGAGGAGAGCGTCATTTGGCATGTAAATTAGACTACATGGCTTACAGCCTTGAAGTATGCAATGGAAATTGCACTTGAGTGCCGGACATGCGGCGAATGTTGCATGTTGCCCGTTGCACACGTTGCACGTTGCTAGTTGTTCTGTTTCTGCTCTTGGTTCTGGTCATGTGTGAAAAATGGCAACTGTGTCAGCGCCCACACGCCCGCGTCAATTGCATTATTCAGAGAACAGAAACTGTGCGGCAAGAACAAAAGCCACTCGGAGTAAACGAGACCGAGGGATTGGGGCATGAATGAGTCAGAAAGGGTGGGCGGGTGACCCTTAATTATGCAAAAGACGGCAACGACCTTGAAGCTGCCAATTGCAGCACACGTAATTAAAGACGAGCGTCGAAAACGAAACGTAACGCAACGAAACACAGAGGGTTTTTCGCTACAGTGAGTTACTTTGGTTAAAGGATCCTTATGATGATTAAAGAAAGGTGTTACTCGTAAAAACATACCAATTTATGCCTTTAATTGTTTATATAATAATAAATAATATGCAACTTCATAAGACTTTAAAACCACTTTTAAAAAATTTTATAAAAATCCTTTACTTGATTTGTTGTTTGTCGAACACATTTATAATCTACTAAAGAAAATAATATTGTTGTAGCTTTTTAACCATGATTTTTAGCATTCGTAAGACTTTAACTGAACTCCTAACCTCTGTTGTTAAATAATTTTATTTTTAGTTAGTGATTTTTGTGAGATAAAATAATAATTATTATTATAGTTTAGTGAAAATGCATTTATCTTGAGAATGCTTGCAACCTGTCTTATAAGATCGTTTGTATTTTTAGAATTACTGTATTTAGACTTTAAAACAAGAGTTCCCTCAAAATCATTAATGGTTGTTAGTTGGTAAAAAGTAAAAAAGTATCAGATTACGGTTCATATCCACATTTAGAGACCTTGTAACCAAGCCACTAGCCTACAATTAACTGAAAATAAGTTAATTGAAACAGCGACTGACCACTGTACGTCCCCAAACCATATCATACCATACCATATACCATTTCTCAGCCCTTTGGGACAACGTGTGAAATTTCCCATTGTGTGATCGATAAAATGGCCATGTGAGAGGGTAAAGGGCGGTGAGTGGTCGGCGGACTGTGCGGTGTTGTCGCGTCCTTGAAGGCAAATTTACGACAAAATAAACAACTTGGCAGAGAAAAGAGTCCGAGCCTGAAACCCGGGTTCCTGCCGATAAGGATAAGGATACGGAGGGCCAATCGCTTGGCGCGAAATTTTATGACACAGCAAAAGTTATCGACGGCAGCCAAAAGACAAATTGCCTATAAAACGACAAAGTCAATAAAGACGGAAAAAAGGAATGTGTGACCGAGTTACAGGATACATATTCTTGACTGAGATGCAGGCCACATATGTACGTTCATACATATATATCCTGCAAATCCTGTATGCTACACATAAATTGAAATTGAATTTTTCGCAAACGAAATTTGCGTGGAAAATGATGCGCTGAGCCCGAGCTTTTCAGTATTTGCTCAAAGTCTTTGGCTTTGGCTAATCCCCAAAACGAATGCTGGCATTCTTTTCCTTTGCATTGAGCTTTTCAACCGAAATTCGTTGGTTTTTTGCTAAACTTTGCCTATTTTTCGTATCTCTACATCAGCACCGAAGGGCAGCACATAAAGGAGAGGCGAAAAACAGCACAGCATTTCCGATTGGAGAAGAACGAGCAGGAGTGCACAAGAAAAAATAATTGTTGAAAATATATATTTTAAAATTTAGTCCCTATAAGACAATATTATTTGACTATTTGTCAAAACTATTTTAAAAATTTGCATGAATGTAAACTCAAATATCATTATTAAAAATCATTCATACAAAATAATTTGTTAACAAATCTATATTAAATGATTTGGAAAACTGAAGTAACTTTTAACTTTTATTTAATTCATCAATTGCTTTAATTATTTTTGTTACTTTTACCGTATTATTATTAAACATAAAAAACGTGTTTAGGCGCCTAAAACAAAATATTTTTAAAAAGTATTTTGAAAAATAAATTCTAGTATTTGATTTATAGAAGAGAATATTACATTACATACTTTCAAAGCAAGGAAAGCTTTAAATTTAAAAATCCTTTAACCCAAAATTTTTAAATTCTAAAAATTTGTGAAACCACACCTTACATTTTAAAATAAAAACTTCTCGCATCTAATTTATTTCAGTGCTTTATCAGCACTTTCTTTTGGACCCCCACTCCTAGTGTTTCGCTCTTTTCGGGGTTGTTTATGTTTTGCTTCGCTCTTTCGCTATGCTCCCCGATTCTTCCCATTTATCTTCCTTTTTTTTGTGTTGAGGTAGGATGCAAAGGATGTCTGGAGGAGCAAAGCTCGACTTGATGCTCCAAAAATGTACTCACCTTAGACGGGACGTCCTGTTGAAAACCTGTGCCTTGACATTCCTCCGTTTTCCAGTTGATCGTTTTTAATCATTAGGTAATTTATTTGGGTTTTCTAGGTTTTTGTATAATATTTTATAACATTTATTACATTTTTTTCTTGAACACTTTGTCTTTATCACTTTGTTTGCTAACTCTTTTTGGCTGCAACAGGCAAGAACTGTAAAATATCTAGATGAATGTGGGCTTAAGATATATTTAAAACCCAAAGTAGTCGGCGGGCCTCAAAGAAACGCTTTTTCACCAATGAATCAATCAAATAATATTTTAATGCATGCATTTGTTGGGTGTTAAATTAAATGGATTTTTGGTTTTAGATAAGATAATTTTTTGGGGGTATGATTTATGGCTTTGCTTTTGATTTCCACGATTGTAAATATCTTTTAAACGTTGTCACTTTTGCACTGTGGTTTAAATATTTTTTGAATTTTCCATTTCCAATTTTCCGTAACACTTTACTTGTTGGCTTTTCCTTGTGGGCTGCTGATTTTCTGCTTAGCCTTCAACACACATACAGCCAAAGGCGTTTTCACACAGATATATATGTATACACACAGAGGACCCTCTCACAGACACAAAGTGCGCAGGTGTGTGCCTTGATTTTTCAATTATCCTTCTAGCTCGTAATGTGCACAATTTAATTGAATTCACTTTTTAAATTTTCCAATTTTCCAATATTTTTGTGTTGGGTTTAAAAACGAAAAAAGGCGTTTAAGGATGAACAAACTTTTCTTTTTTGGCCAGCTGAAAAATTGTGTTTGCTGGCCGCGTGTCGATGTGTGTTTCTCTGTGTGTGTTGGTGTTGTGTCTGTCTGTTTGTGAGCGTGTGTGAGTGTGTTTCCACCGTTTCCAACAACAACAACCACTGAACAACGCGCTGCTGCTGCTGCCGCTGAATCTTTTCTTTTCAGTTCGTTTTCTTTTCGATGCGTGCGTAGGTGCGACGCGCTCACTGTCTAACTGGCAACTGTTTTTCCGCTTTTCCATCGCTTTTCCTTACTCTCAGCTGCTAACGCCCCCAGAGAACTCGGCCAACGGAGAGAGAGCCGCTCTCTCTTTTAGCTGGAAATGGAAAAGCAACAGCAGCAACAGGAAGAGCGAGCTTTTTGCCCAGCTAAAAGCTAAAGCAAACGCACATGGCGTTTGTTTATATTTGTGGCAGGTAAAAATAGCACTGCATATTTTTAGGCACCGCCGACAAGAATCCGAGACCCACTGCGCAGGCCCCAACTGCCGCTGGGCGAAAGCCTGGTTAAACTAATTAATTTATCTAGTTGCTCCAACTACAGTTGGACTATTTAATCTAATATATTCTAGTTTTCAACAGGACGAAAATTGTATTTTTTCTGGAAAGGTAAAATATATACAGTTAGCATTTATATATATTTCTTCTGATTTATATCATCTCATTAAAATTGCTCATACGACCCATATTACAGTCTAAATCAGGGACCGTAAATAATCATTATTTGAGATTTTTATTTTTAAAAGACAACCGTGATATTTTGTTTTAAACGTCAAAAATAACGTTCTTTTTAATCTTAATCCACGACAACAGTGCGTATGGTAGATAAACTTTAAAGGGTCTGCGCTCTCAAAAAATTTGTATTGATAAGAGTATAAGCTTAAAATTTTTAAGTTAAAAATGTCCACATGCCTGAACTAAGAACCTAAACTTATATTTATTTACATTTCGTTTCCTATGTGCATATAATTTGGAAAATGTACAACCTAAATTACAGCTTTTTAAATGTCATCTTCAAATCGGATAAGTAGACCGTCTTAATACTTAATCATTAATCCTCTCCAGTACTGGGTTCTGCATCGTTGACGTTCAGTGAGAGCTCGGCCACTTGCTGTTGATCGGCCAATGGATGTCTTAAGGGATATAGCTGGTCCATGTGCTCTATGAAAGGCCGAATTCCCTCAGGATTCTTCATGTACTTGGCCACACTAAGGATGATATGACGGTAGATCTGATGATCCCGATAGGCCGCATTTGGCCGTCGTTTTTGTGGGGGTCTTAAAATAATTATTATAATTAATTAATTTTTATATAAGTTTATATTATAAATGTAAAATTTTAATTTACCTCTCCTGAGCTCTTTGTATCACCCGTCGACGTCTTACGGTTTCCGTTCTTCGGCATCGTTCACAATATGCAAAATAGGCACAAACGATGATGACCAATGCAGAAAAGGTGTAAATGAGCCAACTCCAGCTGAGGACACTAAATAGGGATTTAGAATATATGTAGTTATATGAGGAAGTTATCCCATCTTCTATTACGTCACAAATGTTGCATTCAACTCCTTCCAGATGGGCGAGATCTGCTCCAGCTGATGCTTCTTCACATCGCTCCTCCAGAATGCGAATTGATGCATTATTGGCCTGGTCGTCTGACGGCTGGCTACCTTCTGAAGTCCGGAAAAAATTTTGAAAACGACTAAAAGGTGTGTGTCTGTCAAGGTTTGTTATTGTAACTTACTACTATATATTTATAAAAAACTTTGAGCTTTAAAGAAAAGCTGGGTGGAGCTTAAAAACAACATTTACAAATATAAGATCATATTTAAAAGATTTGTTTAAGTTGGTTTGAGGTTAAAATTTAAATTTAAAAATTCATATTTATCATCAATTTATTATATTCAAAATATTATGTTAAGCCCATAAATTAATTTTTTACCCGATGCAAATGTTTAGTTTTTTATTTGATTTTTATTACGATTTTTATATCTGCTTTTATTTTTCAATAAAATATTTGCAACATAAAAAGGCATAATAATAAAATTCCATTTAGGAAGTAACAACATTTTTTCACACTAAATTAACAACATGTAATTAAAAATTACGAATTAAATTATTCCCTCATTAATACAAAGCATGATGAATGAATGCCTTATGAACAGATGCTTATGCTGCTTATCCTTAACAACCTGGAAGTTACGGCTTAATAAGGCCTCAAGGTTAATAAATCGACGATCGATTGCCCGGCCGGATCATCATTTGACTATTTCAACTAAGCAATCTTGGCGATTCGCGCTTTTGTCTACAAGTTTGTCTACAATTTGCAATGGCAATTCGTGCGCTTCCGTCAACAATTGTTTCGCTTCGTTTCGGAAAAGCGTGATCATATAAATTATGGGGTTGGTGGGGTAGGTGGAATGCTGACAGTGTCAAAAGAACATTTCAGGGAATTTGTTGGAAAATTTGCCTGGTGCTTGACACATTCGCTTCGGATTTATGGCCATGTCTCTTGGTCGCCGTTTGAATTCCTCGCAGTTTCCCCTTTGTCTTCGCCAGGTGACACTGCATATTGCCCCAAATTGAGGCACGATCGTATGAGATTGCTGGTCAAGCGACTCCACCCCATTTGCGAATTCAAACCCCAATCGCAAAACCCAAGCCCAGATGGAAGGCATGGATAATATCTCTGACAGGGCAGGCAAAAAGTTACGATTTTACGGCCAAGAATCAAACAAATGTGCTGACACATCGATAACATCAAAAAAGACCAAATTTTTATTCTGAAATATATACTATATAGCTATACTGTTGTATTAAAAAAAAAACATTTAAATTTATTTTGCACATATTTGAGTTAATTACATTTTGTGAAATATTTTCAAGAATTTTTTTAATGACTATTATTTATAAATAATAATAAAATTATCACTATTATTACATTTTTATCCTAAGCTTTATCATAATTTTATGGGTCCCTACCAATATTGGTATCATATTACTAAACATTCATTTCCTCATTATTTTTATGGAGTTGGAAGTTTTAATTTTATTATAGGATCACAAAAAATGATAATAATTATTAGTTCTTAACTTTTACATACCGCGCGCCATCTTTAAATATAATAATAATAAAATCAATTCCATTCTGCCTCCCACCCAAATCATTATAAAAAGAAGATACAATTTGGCTACATGTTGTCGCCCAATCAAACGGCTGTCAAATTACCTAAACACACCGTGAAAAAAAGACCCCAATGCAGAGCTGCAGTCGCTGATGAAAATAGTCGTGATAATGATGATGACGATGGAGCAGCAACCCACACGAAATGCTAATGAATTGTTATCAGTTAATTGTCTGAGCGGGGTACCTGGCTTTGTTATCAGCTTTTATGCTTTATTCGAATTCGATTTGGGAAGACGGCGTGGGTGTTCCCCCAAAAGACCCAAAGTCCCCACTCAAGTGGCAACTAATAGCCCAATAAATTGTGATAGCCGGCGGAGAGGAAACCCAAGAGAGACACACTCACAAAAATAATAATAAAAGAAGACCACCGTACCTTTGTGCAGCTAAGCGAACTGTCAATGGCTGGCACATTGTTCGATTTATGACCATTCTCTGTTGGGAATGCCGGGCAATATGGGAATATGCAACCAGTTTATGGGATACCGAAAGCCAACGATGAATGCTGGATGTTTCACTGCGCAGGCGCAAATCCTTTTGACATGTCCAATGTGCTCAGCGTTTAGACAGTGGGCAGCTATTCCATTGCCAGTGGCTAATAGTATATGGCAATGCACTGGGGAAAAATATACACACTTTTACTACATTTTAAAATAAATATTTTTTACTTTCGGGATGTTTTAAAATAAATAAACCACACATATATACACATATAAATAATTAAATCGTAAAAACTGAGATTTTTTAATAATAAATTTAAAAAAATATATTTTTGTCTACACAACCTTAAAATTAAATTAATATAAATTATAATTAAAAATAATATTAAAACACGATTTAAAATAATTTTGAATACATGTTTCGAGAAATATAAACTTACAAATTTATAAAACTTTAAAATATTTCTACGTACAAATTATATTTAATAAGATATATTTAAAATTGTTTTTATAAAAAAGAAAAGTGCAATTCGATTATGTTGGGCTTTAGTTTTTTATAGTATTTTAACTGCCGTGAACCAAGCGTGATTTAAGTGGGGCCTCTTGAAATATATCTAGACCTCGTCGTATTTTTCGAGTGTGGTTGACAGTAGCACTCTTATGATGACAACGACAGATCCAGCACCCGATATGGACAGAAGGGCTGGAAACGAGTTCTCTGCTCTTGTGGATTCTCCTCCATGTGAAAGATCAGCGAGCCGTGGACTAAACTGGCTGCCCGGCAGCAGCGGCGGGTAAATATTTAAGTTAACAACTTGCCACCAACCGGAGAAGAAGCAACAAAAGCAGCAGCAGTGGTAGCTGCAAGAACAACAACGACGGACCATAAAAAGCATAAACCGCAAACTCCAAATAGTTTGGACCTGGAACTGGGGATCCCATATAAACAAAACAGCTGTAACGCACTCAAAAAAGCCTGCCAACGACCAGGCGAGGGCATATGTACTATAAGCATATATACCTGCCCACTGTACCGCCCACCGCCCACCACCTACTTCCTCCTAGAATTTGGTCCGCTCCTCTGTTGCGTCGAACAAAGGAAGCCAACTTGTGTAAATTTCGTTTGAGCGAACCAGCGAATGTGCAACGAACATGGGCTTCGACTCGTCTGACAGGGAAGAGCATCTAGCTTTTTCAAGCTAAAATACAGCATTTAATAAATAAAATAAAAAAATAATATTTTCAAAACATAATATATAAAAAATAATTAAAAGATTTATATATTTTTATAGTAAAAAGTTAAAAAAGATTGAAATAAAAAACATATAATATATAAAATATATAAAAAAAATTTTTTTTATTAATCTATTTGATTGTGTACGTTTTAGTCACATTGTTTTTTTGGATTTTATCATTAACCTATTTAGACATCAAGCTTAAGGGAAAACAATTTAATCATATTAAAAAAATATTTGAATTGTCACAATAAAGTGTAACTAAGTTGTTTTTAAAAAAAATTTAAAAAGTGTTAATGTAAGAGTGTAGAGAATGTTGTCTCAAAATATTGAAAATAAAAACTCTGTAAAAATAACAACACTTTTTGAATACATCATAATTTTTTGGAAATCCTTTGTTTACGGAAATAAAAATATTGGAATCAATCTCTCCATTTAAAACATCAAAAAATGTAAATAAACAATAATGTGGGCTAATGATTTATGAAATAATCAGAAATTATGTTATACAAAATTCCCTAAAATAAATATTTACCGATTTCCTTTGGAGTACAGATGATTTTCAGCTGGCAGCACTGGCAGCGCGCTGCTGATCGGCGATCGTTAACTGGACTTTCGGTTTCGGCTGTGCATTTTCAGTTCGTCTCGGGACTTCTAAGCGATCGGTTTGGAATGTGTTAGCTCCGCCGCGCCAGCTGGAAATTTGTATCTGAAAGATCGCTGCCAGTTCGTTCGTTTTTTCGTTTCGTTCGTTTTTGGCATACGGAAGCGGCTAACAGAATCCGGAAAATCACAAGAGGCACAATATTCAGCCGTAAAAAATATATTTTAAAAGCATATAATTTATTGCACAAATTAAAAGCCAAATGCCGCGTATCTGCTTAATGTCAGCGCGAAAACTCAATTGAATTTATTGATTGTGATTGCAAATTTGACATAATTGTGTTTTGATTTATTTGTGTAAATCTCGAAAAGAATCTTCAAAATAAGTAATTAAAATCTCTCGTTGTTTTTCGCCGCATTGAACTCGCGGGTCAGTTGAAATTTGTTCGCTGTGTGTAAGTCGCATGCAAATATTGTTAATTAATTGCAATTATTTATGAATTGAATGTGTGTCAAGCGACATTTGTGCGACATTTCCTAGTGCATTAATCTTGCTCAAAATAGCCGCATAACCGATCCTGTCTAGGAGTCTCACATGTCACTTATGGACGTAATTTGCATTTCATGGTGCGGCTAACTAAGTTGTCTGTTGGCGAAGTGTCTTTCATTTTTATGTGCCTTAACTGCTAAACAATGCCATAAATGGATTAGGAATTAATTATCGTGTGAACTTCAGGCAAATGTCTTTATTATATTCTTGTTAATAATTCTAAGTGGATTTCAATGTACACTGGGGCTTATAAGATTTTTAACTGATAACATTATAATATGTTCTTTTTCACCATCTTTCTTCTAATAAAGTTTTTGAAAAAATTATACTTTTTTTTAGCTTTGCTTAGATAACGATTTATTAATTATATTTTACTTGAAAAGTGTTTTTTAGAATAATTTTATTACTTTACAAAATTTTATATTCTAAAACAATCAGTACAACAAATTTTAAAATAATTAAAGTATTAGAATATTTTAAAAGTACTTTTAGTTGACTTTATAACTTTACATAACTATAAAAAACCAACCGAAAGTGATTTGCTTTTATTATCATTATTGTATTTTCAATTACAACTTTTTTTCATGGATATCTGTTAAGCCTATCTAACTTATTTTAATTTTAATTTAAATGAATTCTTACCATTCATAAAATATACACTGTGGTGCCCATTTTTATGTCAACGCCATTAGGTGAATATGCAAATTCAATGACGTTATCGCCATCAAAAATTTGTTTAAATAATGTGACAAAAGCGGAAAATGCACCAATTTGAATAATTTTATTAATACTTTCCATTGTTTAGACCAGCTTGGGAAATAATTATACAAGGTCTAAAAATTAGTTTCGTTTTTTTTTTTGTTTTTGTTTCCTAGCTAGTGCGTTCTGCATTTTGACACATATCGTTCGGCAGGTGAGCAATCAAAATTGTGTAGTTTGGGGCACGATCCATACAAACGCGATCGTGCCTTCCTGCATATCATAATCTCTATACAAATATTATTATGGAAAATGGGAAAAGGGGGGAGGGAAGTTTGTTGGTGGCGCATGTCCATGGGTTTTCTTGTTTTTCCTTCGCTTTGCTAATTAACCAAAGTCATTTGCATAAATTACGCAGCTAACGGTAACTGGGTTTATGTCTTTTGGTCTGGCTTAGTCCCCCACCAACAGCAACAACAAGAAAAACAAAGAAACTCGGGTCACCATGAACTATGGGGATTTATATGTGGGGAGGCAATGGGTCTACGGGGCATGAGTGGGCGTGGCCTCCGCCCCTTGCAGCTGCAAAGCAATTAGCAAAAGACTGGACATGCCAGCAAATTGAGCTCTGCTGTTGAAGTTTTTCCTTGCGCCTTTTTTGGGCCGCTGCAATTGTTATTGAAATGAGTTTTCGCATTTGAATTTGAACTTGCTGGCTTTTGGTGCAGTGAAGAAAAAATAATATGTGATTTATTTCCCAATCAAAATAATCTTTTGGAATCGGAAAATATTTTTATTTTAAAATATTTACTTACAAGTCTTGGAAAATTATATGGTTAAATTCTTTATTTTTAATAAGTAAAAGCTGTTATTAGGCAATTGAGAAAATGTTCAAAAAAATTAATTAAATTAATTAAAGACAGAGAATATATTTTCAATTGATCCGTTTCAAAATATTTTTTTCTGTGTGTCGAATAAAAGGTTGGGGAGTCATAGGACTTTTGAGATGTCAAACTGTCGATGTTGAACATATTGCATAGTTTTCGCTTTTCATCTCAGACTTTTGTTAGGGAAGAAACGCAGCCACAAAGGCCAACAACATTCCTTTAATTGGACTGAAAGTAAAGTGTAAACAAAATCGCGATCGAACCCCTGATCACCTCACCCCATCCAACATTCCCAGTTTGTTGATCTTGTTAAAAAATAAAAACATTCAGAAAGAAAAAGGAGGGGGAGGAAACGTCAAAAGTAAACGAGATACAAACTCCGGGCAAATGTGTAATGATTTTGCATATTAAAGACAGCGACACAATATCAACAGATGAAACACAAAACAGCATGTGAAATAGATACCAAACACACTATTAAACATATTTAGCTGGTCGTGATTTTACTATCCACCCATCAGTGGGCTGTCTTAGCTGTCGTGGGAAAAAGGAAGGAAAAACGAAGACGAGCGAATGAAGTCAACCAGAACAATAAACAAAGCGGAGGCACGAATGAATGAATGTAGCAAATATTTGGCAATCTGTCAGATAAGATCTATTCGATAATTCCCTCCGACACTTTGGGTTATTGAACCCGTACACATAAAAAAAATACTTGCATTTTGAATTCAAGCATTCCTATTACATATTTAAGTTAAATAAAATTTAACTGCCCGATTTCATTTGATAATATTTAAATCAAGGGGGATAATATTAGTCTTAAAGATAGTCATGTTTACTTAAAATATTTTACGTCATTAAATAAAAAGAATTTCGTATTAAATTATTAAATTTATTATTTTCATATTTAAAATTAGTTAAAATCTAAATGGATGAATTGAATATGAAATATTTAACTTTACTAAGTTTTTTTTTTATCAGTGTAGAGCAGCGTGAAAATTACAGCCAACAGTGGGTGGCTATTCCTTCGGGTTTTCCCCCCATCTTCATTTTCTCACACATTATTTTCCCGGGTGCGATCGTACGTCTAGTGCAGTTCTTCGCCAAGATCTAAGGCTTTTTGCGGCCCATCGCGGCTGTCCAGATAATGTTAATAAAAGCAGCGCTGAAAAGCGTTTGCAACAGCAACAAATTGGAAATATCGAATACAAAAAAAAATCGAAGAGTTACCAAACAATTTCTCGTTGTTCGGGAATCTCCTCGGCAGGCGGCGTTAAGCTCTTAGTTTATCTCTTTATAAGAACTTGAGGAGTGGCCCCGATTACACAAAACATAAATAAAAACGCATGCTAAAGTGGCAGCTGTTTGGAATTGCACAAAAAAAAAAAATAAGAAATGTTTAAAAAAAAAAGAGGATGAGAAGCTGAGGCATTTAATTAACATTTAAATGGCTGGCCGTCGGAAGAGTTGTTAATTTAAATTACATTCTCGAAAGCACGCTGCCCAAATAACATCGAAAGATGATCAATTTACACGCCATTGAACACGAGTAAACAGATGCGAGAACCGAAGAATATCCAAAAAATAACGTTCAAATTTCCATAATGCCTGCGTTAATTAAGTAATTGGTGCAGTTTTTAGTCATTATTAATTTGGAAATGCAAAAAAAAATGTTTTGGTAATGCGAAATGGGGTCTATCTTCCGAGTTGCCATCATGTTCTTCCTCCAACAACTATTCCCAATGACAACCGAAAACATGTCAAATGAAAATGAGACATAAGCAATGTTTTTAGGGGGCTTGTTGAGTCATCTCAAAATAGGATGAATTCGATAAGGTGGATATTTTTATGACTTTTACTATTGTTAGGAAATGACTAGCAATAACAAAATTTCTTAAAGTTGAATTTTAAATATATTTGCAATATGACTAATTTATTTATTTATTAATTAAATCAATAAGTTGGAATTTTGTTTATTTAAAGTGTAATTTTAATTATGATTTTATTATGACCAATTTTTTTATTGAAAAATATTAATTTACCCAATCAGTTGGAATTTGTATTATTGTTGTTTTTATATTTATTTATTTTTATTTCAAATAGGTTTTTTATATATATATATTTTATATTTTATATATTTTTGGAACAAATTAATTTCGTATTTTCTATCTAAACTGAAATATAACATTTTTATATATTTATACATTTTAAATAAATTTAAAAATGAGTAAATATTTCTATCTGGATTACTGTAAGATTATCTTTTAAAATAAAACAAATTATATTTATTTATATGTTTGTCCTAGCTTTTTCTAATGGATTACTTTGCTGAAAACTGAATCACAGTTTGAAGAGCTTAAGATAAGATTACCTCATATCTAGACCTCACCGTATATCCCCACATCTTCCTAAATTTCCTGATCTATGTGTGTCTACACGCATCTCTGGTGATTCATTGGCCATAGCTCATGTCTGGGTCAGCTCACAGTAGCAAATACAACAGATACAGATATATATAGTTTCAGCTATGGCTACTCCCACCGAATCCGTGTCTTGTCAGGGTGACAGAAATAAAGTTGACACTTTCCCCGTCGAGAAGGCGGAATGCCCTAGAAGTATTTAGCCCGTGATTTATGTGCTGGGAAAACAAATCAATAACATTTAACACACACACTAATTTCGAGACTGAGAAACGTGAAAAATTTATGGCGTCTTTGCATAAATTCCAGCTAAACTGCAACCGCGACCCGAAATTCGATTTATTTATTTTTTATAATTCCTGAAGGCAATGCCAGCTATTAATTAGAGATATATCAAAATTCAGCCGCCGATCGGTTGTGGGCTGGCTTTATGAGTATAAATCTATGGATCCATCTACTCTCCACCTTTTCGGGTTCAGACGAATGCCGCGAGATTTGATTTATCTGCGGACTGACCGTTTTTGGCAATCCAGCAAGGTCAAGGCGGGTTGTCAACGCGGCTTAGATTTCAACGGAATCAAGTTGTTTTCCTCCCTCCTCTGGGATTTCTTCATCTGTTTATTTTTGTTGGATTTTATTGTTTGTCTGCAGTCTCGATTAAGTTTTGTGGCGGCGCCCGAAAAACCTTTTTACCATTTTTATTTTCTGCCTTTTTGCATTTCTCGGAACTTTTGCAGAGTTATGACAACTGGTTTGGGGGTTTGGTTTGCTCTGACATTTGGCAGTCATTTGAGTGGCAGTCCAGAGCCCAAGGGGTTCCAGGGTTTCACTTACTAAGCGGCTTAAAACCACACCTGATTGAAACTTTTTTTTTAAATGCATCTGGAAAAAGGGTCAGGCTTGCCACATTTCCCTTACTTTCTTGCTTACAATTTCTCAATTTAAAACTTAGGCTGAAGTTTTTTAATTAGCACAGCACATGTTTAATAACGACTTTCATTTGAACTCATCAAAAGTTCTTCGTAGTTCAATTGTATGTTGCAGGCACTGCGAGAAATTTCGTTATAATGAGAGGTAATCATAAAATGTGCATAAATTTCATTGTATACTTAAAATTATATATATTTTAAAATAAAAGACTGAATTTTTAAAAACGATTTGACAAAAAATTGGAAGCTTTGAAAACACATTTTAAATATGTTAAGTATTGTTAAATATTCATTTAAATTTAAGCACATTTTTAATTTTTATAATTAACAATTTATTCTGATTTTTATTTTTATTAAATATCCAAGCAACCTATAAATCGAGTATTTTTAAAAACAATTTCTTTACATAGTTTTGAAAAGTGTATAATTTTTTCGAAATTAAAAAACAAGAACGGACATATGTTAGATCCACTTTAATGAGCAGGGCGTTTGGAATCATAAATCCAAGTGGAGGCAATGAATATTAATAAGCTCACTGAGCAATTGCAATAATGGATTTTTTATGGTTTTTTGGCTGGTGGTGCGGATATTGTGGGTGGTGTTGTTGTGGGGCACACTTGGGTGCATTCCATTGACAAATGAGTTGCCACTGCTGGAAATTGCTTCACGCAGTGCGTGAAATTTTGAAAAATGCCCCTTTTGAACAAAGCCAAAATTGATGCACTTTTCGCTTCCGGCTTCGGTTCACTCCACTTTGCTTCACGTTTTGGCATCTCCTGCCGGTTAACTGTTAACGCGTTTACTTTTCTTTTTGTTTAACGTGTGATTTATCAGCCAAAAAAGAAAAACAAAAAAAAAACTGAGAATAATAATCACAGTCACCGTCATCATCGTCGGCTCTGTTCAACAAATTGCCTTTGTCTCTGGGCTAAAAACAATATCGAAGCGTACTTGGAAGTGTGGACCACTCGACCATGAAAACCGTTGGCCCCATCAAGAACTGGGTTCGAAAAAGTATATTACTTCCTTAAAAATGATTTTTTTTATGGGTTTGAAGACTGAAAAATAGGTAATTTATGCACTCATTTTGTTAAAAAAAGTTGGACAAGGCTAAACTCAATTTTCTTAAATGGGTTAAGATTATGTTTAAAACTAGGGAAATACTTTTGGGTGTATTTTTAAAGTATAAAATTTCCTGGTGCGAAAGGAATATATATAATTTTTTAAAATTTTTTTTAGAATTTTTCCTGGGACAATCACTAGATTTATGATAAAATAAATATTATATAATGTTTGTAGAACTCACCTTCCTTAATAAATTGTTTGTATTGTTATGATTTGTAGTGAATAAACATTCTATTTTATACTGTTTTCTCTAAAAACTACATAATTTATTTTAATATCCGTTTAACATTTTAATGAGCTCCATAAAGATCAACAAAAACGCAGTTCTATCTGCAGAATTTTCCTTCACATTCGTGATGATTCTGTGGCCTGGTCTTTAGAGTAGAGTCTAGAGTCTAGTTAATACATTTATGCTACCTTTCAATTACCCGATGATGGACAGACAGACAGGTCGGCGCTCCGTCGGACAAAGGAATCGGTAATGAGGACCGATGGATCCGTCTTGTTGCTTACATTAAGTTAAAGCGAGGCGTGCAAAATGCCTAGGAATTTGAATGAGAACGAAAGTGAATGTAATTGAACGCATGGATGGGAGCAAGGGGTTTTCGCAACGAAGAAACAAGTTCAGCACTTAATAAAGTCACGCTTATTTTCTTTTTTTACTTACAGTTCCATCAAGAGTGAATTGAGATAGCGGTATATCAACATCATCCTTCAGAATGCCAGAAGTGATTTACTCGAGTTTTTTCCTGCTGTTCTGCTGCACAATCCTGCTGCTGGGAACGGCGGTATCAGGTGTTCAGAATGCTGGTTTCAATAGCACTAGCAATCCTCAAAATCGAACCCACCGAGGACATAATCATCATCACAGCCATCGGACGCGTCATCAGGGGACAATCCATTTGCCAACCCATCAGAGGCAGCAGCGAAGATTACAATCGTTGAATCAAGCGAAATCCGATGTGGAACTTCTTCCAGGAGTCACCATGCAGGAGGTCACCAGATTGCGTAGGATACAACCCCACAATCCCTATAACAAAGTGCAGACACGACGGCTACACCAAACGCGACCTTCGACCTCCGAATGGGATTACAATACTTATAATATACTGACCAATACATTTGGACCTCCGCCACCGCCGATGCCTTCGTCACCGCGTTACGGAAAGGGCGAGGATAACACTCAGGATGTGGAGTTTGTTGGGGTGAGAGAAAGGGGACGTGGTTACTCCTTTGTGCCATCCGTTGCTACAGTTACCACAGCACCACCCCCGAATCTCAATAGGAGATCGGCGAGTCCCGGTTTTGGAAGCAGTTTGGGCACCATTCCACCATTAATTCCCGCCAGAAGGGGCTACAGCTATACGACCACTACAGCTTCTCCTTCGGTGAACTCCATTACCACCGAGAATCCCTTCGAGACGAACCTCATTGGAAGGGGTTATCCCTCGGATCCCAAGGAAATGGAAAGGTAAGGGATTTTATTAGTAACTGATTTACATTTATGGGAAAATATACATATAAGAATATAAAGAATCTCATTTTCCAAATTATTGAGGTTAGATAGATCAAATTTTAAGTAGATATTTTATTGAATTTATTTAATTCAACTGTTAATTTGATATACATTTAATTTCCTGATTTTTGCTTCTCAGCTGAGAACATATTTGCCTTGATTTCAAGAGCATTTGTTCTTAAAAAAGTGAGAAGAAAATAATATATATATTTTTTTCAAAAATCAATCAGATTTTCTTTTGATTTATTTGATTATATAACCTGTAAGCTTTGTTGAAACACAACTAATTTAACAAAAGAAATAAAAGGACTAAAGATAATCAATTTCTCATTTAAATGAACCAATTAAACGGCACCTAAGCCCGCTGCTAAATCCAATCGATGATAACCTTGCCATGGTTCATTGAGCCCCAAAGAAGAGTAATGATTTTGGGTCCCACCCCTTGGGATAGATGAAGACGGGATCTTTTGGGCGGGGCGTGTCCGATTGCATTTATCAGGGGCTCAGTTCGTCGGTTCAAGGTTGATGCAGCCATAAATATATGACCGAAAAGCCAAAAGCCAACTTACCTTTGGCCCAAGATCTCCGGCTTATCGCATCGCACATAAATTATTTAAATATTATGACATGACTGTGGTGTGTTCGTTTCGATTTTCAATGTCAGCAGCTGCGCTTCGTGGCTAATTCGAGCCCAGTTAAGACCAGTTACTGGCTGGAAATTAGCCCCAAGGCCAAGTGGTTTTGATTTTTCCAACCAGCCACTTCAATTGTCGTGTGTCAATTGCAGCGAATCAATGAGCAATCGAAACAATTGCAATTGCAGCTCCTTAAGTGTAACAAGCAGATCTTCAGTTAGATATGGCTTGTCTTCGCCCTCTTTTGATTTTTTTGCCTTATTTTTTCCACCGATCTGGCCAAGATTGTGGTGGCATTGACTCGAATAAGGCAGTCCAGTCGGCGCTGCTGTCGTTGTCTTTAAGGTAATGAACTTTAACGAGTTTTCAATTGCCAGTCGACGATGTTTTCTAATTGGAATTAATGCGACTCTACTTAAGGGCACCCTGGGCACTGGTCACATTCCAAGCTGCAATCCGACGCCTTAGCATCTGCCAGGCGGGAATACGCCGCGTATGCGCAATCTGAGAGCTTACAGCTAGTTCGCTGGTGTTTCTGGTGTTGCAGTTGCAAATTATGACACTTTTTGATTTATGCGGCAACTGCCAAAATCACGCCACAAGGCAAACACACAGGCTGCCTCATCAGTCACAGCACAGTGGCAAAAAAAAATGCAAGAGCAAACATTTCAAGACACTTTGAATAAATAAAAATGTCAAACTAGATATTTATCAACAAAATTATTAATTTGACTACAGGCAATTATAAATGTAAGTCAATAATTTGGCACTGAAAAATATTTTTGGATCCCAAAACAAAAAGACTTATTGTTCATTTATTTTAAAACCTTTCTTAAAAATGTATTTAAAAATAATATAAACATTTTACGCATTTTTTAACACTGCCTAAAACTATTATAATTATTATACTTTTTAAAAAAAATTCCTTAAATGTAAAATATATTTTGAAAATACCAGAAATATTTAAGACATTTTTTGACTGCTTTTAAATTAAAATGCAAAATAATAAAAAATGTGTTGTAGGCAAACCACACTTTTAAACAAAGGTTTGTAAATTTTTAAAAATATCTGGGCATGTAAAATACTTTCTCTCTTAAATTTAATTTATTCCTATCAATTAACCTTGTCATTTCTCTCAGTGCATGGGATTGTGCAAATCTTCTATTTCTGGCATCATTTCCACTGTGATTGCCTCAATACGTAGGCGCTGCTGCTGCTGCTTTTGCCTTGCCCATTTGTTTTTCTATTTATTTAAGCTCTGCACGTGCAACGCCAAGATACTTTAACTGCAACTGCAAGTGGCAAGTTGCAACACAGAGCATATGGAAATGAGTTTTCGTATGGATTGCCTTCGCTCGAAGATATTCACACGCCGACATCAGCACATAAATCCCCCTCCTGGCCGCCACCGATCGAACCTGGTTAATGGTTAATGGCCAGTGCAACGTTTCAATTGCGGTTACAGACTCCGTGTTAATCAGCGTCATACGCGGCGATTTGCGGATAAAAGTGAACTTAAGCCGTTTTCCGCTCCTTTGGCTATGAAAACACTGGGAAAAATCATCTTTATAACATCTTACATTTTTATAAGATTTTTAAAGATGAACATTTTTAATTTATAAAATTTTTTTGGTAGTATTTGAAATGACAGAATTTCCACTGCAATATAGTTTTAAATATTCTTTTTTAAATACTTTAAAATATATTAAAAAATCTCAATAACTTTAAAAACACTCATTAAAATGTCTAAAAAAGCATTTTCTTTTTTCTTTCGACTTTAAAAAAATATTTTTGTCTACTTTTGGACACCTTTAGTAGTAATTTCCAAATAAATCTTTTTAAAATTGAAATGAAAGATTTGATAAACTTACAACGTTAGTATTTTTTCTGTGTACAGTGCCTCGTGTGGCAAAGGAAATTAAGTTTTTAATTATCTCCTTCGTGTTGTAACTCCATATGCAAAAGCCAAAACATTTGAATCAACCGAAAATTTGCTGTATGTTTGGTCCACTGTTTTGGCTTCTGTTTGATAAATTCAATTGATGTCTGCACTGTGCATGTTTTGGCCAATTTGTTGTTGCCGCCGTGGCAGTTGCAGTTGCATGTGTCTGACACTTGATTGATGTCTGTGTTTTTTTATGTTTTTTTCTTTTGCCGTTGGGGCAGCCGCTCGTATTGATTGACTTTTGATTTGACTTCGCAGTTGCACCATCGATCGCGAGTGATCTGATCTGAAACGCGAGCCAATGAATTAATTATAGATTCCTGACTTTATATGCGTTGAAGGTGTTGATTCAGGGAGGAGTACACAAGCTTCAGTGGGCGTGCCTCGGTTAAATGCCACTTGCAACTCGACTGGGGCTGCAAGTACCTCTACCTACCTATCTTGTAGATATCTCCAATAGCCTAGCTTTAAAATCGAAAACAAAGCAGGGCCTTGACTTCAATCGGCCGCAGCAATAAAAGCCAAAAGCAACAATTGGCAAATGCACAATCAAATGAGACAAGAGCCAGCGCCGAGTTATGTGCACTCTAAGCAGCGAGGTGACCCCAGACAAAGTTACAGACTGTACTTAAAGAAAATATAGGGCATATTTTAATAAATTTTCAACTTACTTTCGAAAATGGAAAGTTAAAAAAATAATTTCTAATTTTTCTATTTGGTATACTTTAAAATTTTATTAATATTTTTTTTAATTTCCAAAAGTAGTTTTTTTTTGTAATTTAATAAATAATTATATACAAAGTTGTATTTATTGATAATTAATTTATTTTTCAAGTTTCCACCTCTGCTTAATTTTAATTTGGCTTTAGAGCTTCCTTGAAATAATTTTCAAAGTCTTTAGGTTAAATACATATTTTTTTAAGTGTGTGACTTAAGCCAAGGCTCAATAGCAGCTGGATGCGAAGTCAGGGCTCGAGTTCGCCGCCCGCAAATTGCTTGTCAACAATCGACTTTGGCTCCGAAACCCACGAAACTCCAGGTCTGCGATAATTATGGACACAAGGGGGAAAACCAGGGGGCGAGTGACGAATGATTTGATATGCTAGGCTTGGAAAAACAGCACTTAGAATGCGGCTGGGCCTGTGAAAATTCGTTAACATTTTGCACCGTGAAGTATTGTGCTCAATGGCTACGCCTACGCGTGCCCAGAAAAAAATCTTGAAGACTCCGAGACTCTGGAGATGGAGCTTGAGTTTGAGCTGGAGTTATAAGCTCTCTGGTCTTATCTGAAGCCCAAGTCATGCCATCGGGCCAGGGAACCTTGGCCCAGGCAGAAGCTCGTTTAATGAGTTTTTCTTGGGATTTATAAAGTCAGGGGGAGGGAAACTCGGCTTACTCCCACTCTGGCCAACAACAAAAACTCTGTACACGTGCTCATCAAAAATCAGCGGCGAACACGACTTGATACGACATCAATTGAACAAATTGCTTGACAAATGCAAATCGCTGATTTGCCATCTCAATATTCGTTTTAATTAAGATGGATTTCTGCGGCAAGTTTATGAGCCCTTATGGAAACTCTGCTTAACGAGAGGTTTATGTTTATAGCTGCCTGCACAAAATGGTGACCCCGATTTGCCCATTAGTCACGGTCAGTGTCACTGTAAATGGATCAGGCTGGGACTTTTAGGGGTTTTTGTCTCTCTGGAATTGTCAATCGTTTTTTTAGGTCAAAGGTCTGACAAAAATATTTGTTACACTTTCCCTCAAGAGTGACATGTAAGGTATTTTCTTTGGATATCACTTTACCAGTTGAGTTATTTACTCACGACATGGAGACCCATTCAAATGAACCCCGAAATAACTAATGATTGAGTCAGTTGGGTAGAAAATTTATTTTGTATACGCCTTAAAAAAAACAACAAATATTAATTTAAAAACGATTTTTTTACATTATTAATGAAGCTCATTTAAAATATTGGGTAGAAAATATATTTTGTTTATATTTTTACATCCTAAAAAATAATTTAGTTTTAATTCACACTTAAATGAATTTGTACTTCCTTTTTATGAAGCTCAATAAAAATATTGAATAAATAGAAAAATATTCTGAAATTGCATGCAAGAGTAAAGAAAACAATTGGTCAATAATAACTTAATTTACGATCTATAGTTTCCTCGTTTCCTGGAAGCAATTCAAAAAATATCTTTCAAACCTCAGGCTTTTTACCATAAACCATAAAGAAAATGTATTAAATGCAATATGCAAATCACATATCATGGTCTAAATTTACGCCTATTGTCTGCAGCTCTGTCCGCGCCATGCAATTAGTGAGTTTTTCATATAAACATGAGTAAGTCACTGTAGACAGTGG